GCTGTCGAAGCAATGAGAGGAGGCGCAACCCTGAAGAAGCAGAGTATTTAACATGCGGGCAGCAGGGAAGGGAAGGAGCCAGTATGAAGCAAGATTAGCACACGCAAGGGGGAGAATGATCGCTAGAGCAAGGTCTCAAGGAAACAGAACTACACGGGGACCAGAACACAATGGGAAGGTTGGCCTTAGGAAGAAAGAGGATCTCTTTCCTAAGCCAGAAGGGAAGGAGAAAAGGATAGCCAAGGACACACAGGATGGGCGGAAGGCAGTTCCCGACTGCACCATCTACTAGGGGGGCAAGGGGTTAGGAGGGAGGTTGACTGCTGAAAGTGAGGAGGACATTCTGGGGTTCAAGCTTTGCCAATGGTTATTATAGGGACTGTGGAAGAATGTGAGGCATATGGGAATGAGGAAATAGAGGGACTAGGAGCCCGCCGTGACTTTACTCTGATCCCAGCATGCAAGGTCAGGTGCTCTCCGTCAGGCCCGCATCTCTAGTGAAGACATAGGAAGTCAGGCAGGCGGATTCACCAGGCTCACGTTTTCAACAACTTGGCACCACTCTATATACAGACCAAGGAGCTGGATGAGGAGGCACATGAAGAGCAGAGAGAGATAACAGATGGAGGGGGGTGGGGAGAAAAACAACCTATTCCTAGGTTCCTCATCTTCGTGAGGGTTGTCACCAAGCATTCACGACTGAAGTCAGAAACTAGGGCATCGGCTGGGTACGGCGGCTCACACCTGTAATCCCAGCACTTTGGGAGGCCAAGGTGGGTGGATCACCTGAGATCAGGAGTTCAAGACCAGCCTGGCCAACAATGGTGAAACATCGTCTCTAGTAAAAACACAAAAATTAGCCAAATTAGCCAGTGGGAGAATGTGCGTGTAATCCCAGCTACTTGGCAGATTGAGGCAAGAGAACCGCTTGAGCCTGGGAGGCAGAGGTTTCAGTGAGCTGAGATTGTGCCACTGCACTCCAGCCTGGGCAGCTTTGTTTCAAAAAGAAAAAAAAAATGATAAGGCACGATGGCTCACGCCTGTAATCCCAGCACTTTGGGAGGCCAAGGCGGGGAGATCACGAGGTTAGGAGATCGAGACCATCCTGGCCAACATGGTGAAAACCCCATCTCTACTAAAATACAAAAAATTAGCCAGGCGTGGTGGTGGTCACCTGTAGTCCCAGCTTCTCTGGAGGCCGAGGCAGAAGAATTGCTTGAACATGGGAGGCGGAGGTTGCAGTGAGCCAAGATCATGCCACTGCATTCCAGCCTGGCAGCAGAGCGAGACTCTATCTAAAAAAAAAAAAAAAAGCTATATCAGATCCACAGCTACCATCTCCTTAGTTCTTTGATTCATCCACTTCTTTTCTTTTCTTTTCTTTTTGAGACGGAGTCTTGCTCTGTCCCAGGCTAGAGTGTAGTGGCTGAGATCTCAGCTCACTGCAACCTCCGCCTCCCGGGTTCAAGCAATACTCCAGCCTCAGCCTCCCAAGTAGCTGGGATTACAGGTGTGCACCATCATGCCTGGCTAATTTTTGTAATTTTAGTAGAGACAGGGTTTCACTATGTTGGCTAGGCTGGTCTCGAACTCATGACCTCAGCTGATTCACTCGCTTCAGCATCCCAAAGTTCTGGGATTATAGGCATGAGCCACTGCACACATCTACTTCTTGTCATCTTCCCTGGTCCCTCTGCTCAGCTCCTATAGAACTCTGTTAATTCCATGATTATAGGTCAGGTCACTTTACATCAGAGTTGTTTTAGTACTAGAGTTATTAAACACTCCAGTGGCTTCTAGGACCAGAAGACAATTGAGTGGTGCTGCCAGGGAGTGTGGCACATTGGAAAGCCTCTTTTTGGCTGGGTGTGGTGGGTCATGCGTATCATCCCAGCACTTTGAGAGGCCGAGGTGGGTGGATCACAAGGTCAAGAGATCGAGACCATCCTGGTCAACATGGTGAAACCCCGTCTCTACTAAAAATACAAAAATTAGCTGGGCATGGTGGTGCAAGCCTGCAGTCCCAGCTACTCAGGAGGCTGAGGCAGGAGAATTGCTTGAACCCAGGAGGCAGAGGTTGCGGTGAGCTGAGATCGCGCCACTGCACTCCAGCCTGGGTAACAAGAGCGAAACTCCTTCTCAAAAAAAAAGAAAAAAAAAAAAGGAAAGCCTCTTTTCGTATAACAGGGAAGGAGAGCACTGCCCATGAAGAAATGTGGGCTCACTATTTTGCTTGATCTTTCTACATTCTTTAAAACACCTGAAATAGTTTTAGAGAGAAATACCCTGATCTTTACATAAAGAAAACCACTCAAACTTAAAATAAAATGGTTATTGAAGTATTTAGGGGTAAAGTTTACCAATGCCTGCAACTTACTTTGAAATGTCTCAAAAGACATATTGGTAGGTGGCTAGAGGGATGAGTAGATATGTGATAAAGCAACAGCAAAATATTAATTGTAGCACCATTCTCAATTCCCCCTCAGCTCGGTGATGCACAGGTTTTTCCACTTTTCTGTAAGCTTGGAAATTTTCATAATAAAATGAAGGGACTTTTATTTTTTAATTTTTTTGAAACTGAGTCTCCCTGTGTTGCCTGGGCTGAGTGCAGTGCTCAGTCATGGCTCACTGCAGCCTAGACCTCCTGTTCTCAAGCAATTCTCTCACCTCAGCCTTCAGAGTTACTGGGACTACAGGCACACACCACCACACCTGGCTAATTTTCTTTTTTCATTTTTTGTAGAGATGAGGGTGTCTCATTCTGTTGCCCAGGCTGGTCTCAAACTTCTGGCCTCAAGCGATCCACCTGCCTTGGCCTTCCAAAGTGCTGGGAATTACAGGCCTGAGCCACTGCACCTGGCTAGAATTTTTTTTAATTGAAAAAGAAGGCTGGGCATGGTGGCTCATGCCTGTAATCCCAGCACTCTGAGAGGCCAAGGCGAGTGGATCACTTGAGGTCAGGAGTTCGAGATCAGCCTGACCAACATAGTAAAATACCGTCTCTACTAAAAGTACAAAAATTAGCTGGGCATGGTGGCATATGCCTGAAATCCCATCTACTTGGGAGGCTGAGGCAGAAGAATTGCTTGAACCCAGGAGGCGGAGGTTGCAGTGAGCCGAGATGGTACCACTGCACGCCAGCCTGGGCAACAGGAGAGAAAAGAAAGAAAGACGAAGGGGAGGGAAGGGAGGAGAGAGAGAAAGGAGAGAGAGAGAAAGATAGAAATGCACACATGAGCCACTCTCTGGGACTTCTGTTACAAACTATAATGGACTTGATGAAAGTAAGGTGGGGTAAATGAGGACAAAAAGGACACGGAACACAGTCCCTAGGATGCTTAGTAAAATCAGGTTTTATTATTATCATTTGGAACGGAGGAAATGGGCACAGACTAGGGGACACGAGTTTTTTTTTTTTTTTTTTTTTTTTTT